TAGCATAATACCTTCTTGGTCCATCTATGTTGTTGCAAATGATAAGATTTCATTCTTTTATATGGCCAAGTATATATGCCACCTTTTTTCCTTTTATGTTATATATCACCTCTTCTTTATCCATTCTTTTCCTTTCTCTTATCTAACCTTTTGATTAGAGCATCTAATTTATTTACCTTTTTTTATTTACATTTAAGCAAGTAGTTATTGCCATTTTATTGCTTTCTGTTGTTCTATAGTTCATTTCTGCTGTTTTCTGATTCTGTCGCTCTCTTTTCATGTATGCTGCTGGATTTCTGTAGTGTTGTATTTGGATTCCTTTCTCTCTTTATTTCTTCTCTCTCTCTCTCTCTCTGTTTGTGGTTACCAGGTGCTTCATATATACCAAGCTGTGTTTATTGTAGCCTATTTTACATTGATGGCCACTTAAGTCTGAACATATTCTAAAATCATTACCATTTTTACTGACCCTCCACATTGATGTTTTTGTATTACTTTACTTCTTTTGTTTGTGTGCATTCCCCAGTTTACTGTTGTTACACATGATCTTCATACTCTTGCCTTTTAACCATTGTACTAGCTTTAGTGTTGGTTATCTACTGCTTTTGTTTGCCTTTGTCAGTGAGAAGTTTTTTCTTTCTGATATTTTCTTATTAACATTTTTTTACTTATTTTTCTTTTTCTTAAAGAAGCCCCTTTAACATTTTTTTTGTAATGCTGGTTTGGTGGTGATGAACTTCTTCAGGTTTTCCTTGTCCAGAAATCTCTATATGTCTCCTTTGAACTTAAATGATAACCTTGCTGGGTAGAGAAATCTTGGTTGTAGGTCCTTGCTTTTCATCACTTTGAATACTTTCTGCCAGTCCCTCCTGGCCTGAAATGTCTTTGTTGAGAAATCAGCTCACAGTCTTATGAGAGCTCCCCTGTAGGAACTAACTTCTTTTCTCTTGCTGCCTTTAAGTTTGTCTCTTTGTCTTTAACCTTTGAATTTTAATTATGATGTGTGGACCTCTTTGAGTTTATCTCTGTGTTTCCTGAACTTTCCCCAGATTAGGGAAGTTTTCAGCCATTATTTTTTCAGATAGAGTTTTAATCCCTTGCTCTTGCTTTTCTCTTGCTGGTACCACTATTATGCAAATGATGTTATGCCTGATGTTGTCCCAGAAGTTCCTTAAACTAGCCTCATTTATTTTTTATTTTTTATTTTTGCTATTTTGATTGGATATGTTCTGCTCTCTTGTCTGCAAAGTGCTGATTTAATCCTCTGCTTCATTTAATCTGATATTGATTCCGCATAATGTATTACTCATTTCAGTTATTATATTCTTCATTTCTTACTTGTTCTTTTTTGTGTTTTTATCTCCTTTTTTGTTTCCTCTCTTTGTTGAAGTTTTCATTGAGATCATCTATTCTTCTCCTGAGTTAATTGAGCATCCCTACAAACAGTGTTTTGACTGCATCTCATAGATTGTTAGCCTCCATTTTGTTTAGTTCCTTTTCTAGAGTTTTTTTCTGTTACTTTATTTGGGATATGTTTCTTTGTCTCCTTATTTTGGCTGCTTCTCTGTGTTTGTTTTTATGTATTAGGTACATCAGCTATGTCTTCCAGTCTTGGCAGAGTAGGCTTATATAGGAGGTATCCTGTGTGGCCTAATGGAACAGTCTCCCCTGTTCATCTATCAGCTGGGAGCTCCAACAATATACCCTGGGTGGGTTGTGCCTACTCACCTTTTGCAGTTGACCCTTGATTACTGTTGGCATGTCAGTGAGTGGGATTGACCCTCAGGTTGACTGGCTATGAGGACTGGCTATGACTTCCACAGACAAGCTGTTGTTCAGAGACTGACCCACAGAGTAGGATTCACTTCAGCAGGACTCTGGTGCCTGCCAAATTCATCCTCTGGGTATGCTGTTTGTGGCACTAATTCGGCGGTACTCTAGTGTGGCCTGAAGCTGGCCATCAGGAGTGTTTGTCTGGGAGTCTCTTGGGAGGGGATCTAATGTAGGCCAAACTCAGCTGCTGCCTGTGACCAGCCCTAGGCACCCGGTCAGAGCTACACAGTGATCTGTGGTTGGCAGCTGCCAGCACTGGGCTTAGAGGAGCCTGGGAGTGGATATGCTGTGAACTGAGGTTAGTTGCCACTAGTGCCAGGACTGGAGCCACTCAGCAGGAGGTACTGGGCACGTGGAGACAAGCTGCTGCTTGCTTTGCTTTCTTTTTTAGATGCCACATATAAGTGAAATCATATTTGTGATTTGGGGTTGTGAACCTTTAAGATGGTTTGAGGAAAGTCCATGGCATGATCTCAGGTTAGCCATTTGTGGGGGTCAGTCTATGAAAAAAGGTTTGGACTTGGATTCATGACAGTGTACACGCACATACACACACCAATAAACATGCTAAAAACTCTGTGAAAGTGCAGTAGTAAATGAAATGAAATATGTACGAAGAAACTCTGACTCTTTACTGAGGACTGTAAGTATGACTACATGGACAGATACGATGTCCATGGATGGGAAGACTTAGTATCTTAAAATTATTGTCAAAAATATTCTTTAAAATCTACATAAATAACAATGGTGTGGGGTTATTGATGATATCTTGAAGAAATGAATGTTTGAGAATTAACCTCTAATTTTGAAAACATAAATGTGGAGATACCTATTCTACCAACTCAAAAAATAAATTACAAAGCTTCAACACAAGAGTGCCTTGGAAACCATTACCTCCCTCTTTACTGGACATTTATAGTACTTAGATCAACTGCAGTGTTTTTTATACTCTTTTTCCTCATCTTCCCAATTATATTATAAATAATTGAAGGACAGATAGTTCTTTAAATTATTTGCCTTTTTTTGCAGCAGCACACGAGTTTTGTAAAATATATATAGCATGCCCATAAGTTAGGCATTCAGTGGGAATGACTACCTGAATGTAATTAAGAACATTATCACTAGAATATTCCCACCCCACTAAAGAGCCTGACTTCACTCATGAGGTTTGGTGCTGTCTTCTTTCCAAGCTTTGCATTCCCTTTCCCTGTGACTCCACAACTGGACGAGCTGATTAAGAACGTTCATCCTGAACCTCCTTTTTGACATCCACAGGAAATTTAAGCCTCACAAATCTCCAGACCAAATAAATGGTAACTTTTTCTAGTTCCAGCCTATAAAGGCCCAACCCATTCCCTCTGCTTGGCTCAAGCCAGACTGGGCCTTCTGGGGCCCACCCTGCTCTTCCCTCGAGTCCCTGTGTGAGCAGCACATTTTCTCTCAGATGTTCTTTGTGTGGGGTATTAGCAGCCTCAATACATGAATGGGATGAGCAAAATGTTCATATGAGGCAAAGCAGCATAACTGGGGGGAAAGCCATTTTTAAGGTCCTTTTGAAATGTGAGACAAAAAATAATAAATTGAACATTTGCAATCATGCGTATAACTCAAACTTAGGTTTCTGAATATGTAGAATGGATACATTCCTTTAAAAAGCATCATTGGACTGAGAGCTCACAGGGACAAATATGCAAATACACTGTAAAATAAAGTTTCATAATTATTGTATTATATCATTGTTTTGATTATACATTTTGTAATAGAAACATTTCATATATTGAATAGCTCCGGGAGAAACACCCCATTCAATGGTGTCTTTCTTTTCCTCCTACTGATGCTCTCACTAAATACGTGTCACTTAAGCCACCTCCCAAACTATTATTCTGTCTTTGAGACAGCTTCAGGAAAATGAATATATTCAAGTTCTACATCCTAGTCAAACCATGAATTAATAAATTGGTAGGAAGATAATCATGTTGAACAACCTCTCTTGGATCCATTACCTGCCAATTCTCTGCATAGAGAGGGAGACTCTGGCAGCACCTTGTGTTTAAATTTGACTTACACATTTTCAGTTTAAAAAATACTTACCTGCCAATATATTTGATACATTTAATTCTCAATCACTCCTGTTGACAAGAACCTAAATCTCATTAAAGTGATTCTTTTGCAAAGAGGAAGCAGTACCAAGAGAAAGATACAAGCTAATCTCCATTTAAAACATTTCTTTCTTCCACTTCCTGGTTTTTGTACATCTAGTTCACTTCTAATGCTAAAGTTTTAGATTTTTCTCTGAATTTTTAAAGTACATCCACATTTCATTTGACTAGCTTTTTCTCTTTTTGTTTCAGGAAAGGCAAACATATGCAGAAAGAGAAAAGATGGGTAAAATGAAGAACATAAACTCCCAAATGGCCGTCTCCTCTGTGTAAAGGTACTGGAGAAATTTGTTTGTTTTATTAATCATTTCATTTTAAATCTAAGAAGCTGTGCGAGACAAATGGAAAATGCCAGCAAGGATGACATGACAAAGAGGCTAATAAACTGCAGAGTGTTCATACTACTGAGAGGAGCCGAACAACATAAACTGCCTCCTGGGAATGGAACAGGCAGCCCAGCCAAAGCAGGTCACAGCCAGACGAGTGAAGAAAAAGAATGCCATCAGATACCAAGCAGTTTACAAATGCTGCAAATTATTAACTATGAATCATACCTTTATTATAACATAAATTAAAGGTCATCTCATCTGAGGCCTTAACCATAGAGCCCCTGAATGAAAAAACAGTGAACCCTAGTGCTCAGGCTCCATTTTTTTCTACTGATGGTGCAGTATAAAGAAAAAAAATTACACTTTGTGACAAGCACTAAACTAATTTAAACATCTCTAACTCGAATGATATAACCAAAGCAATTTAAAAATACTTCAACCATTAACTTTTTATCTGCATAAAATTTACATTACAAATAAAAAAGGGCTCCCTGGTTTGTATATGTGTGACTTTGTGACCCTTTACTTTTAATATTTCATTTCTCCATTACACTGTTTTGTGCTTTGAATTGGCAGCACATGAGAGGGAAAATCCTTTTAAAAGATAATCATCAAAAAACGATCCATTGTATCTTCTTTACAGAAAACTAGGAGGAGTGATGTGCTAGTCAGAAGTTACCTTCTTGATGGTCTCCAGCATGGAACGCCCTCCTTGCCAGGGCTTGGAGCTCTTCCTGATGCATGACAGACTTGCCATGCTATGCCACTTCCGGTCCTCCAGCTTCTTATGGAAAGCATTAGCAAGCAAAAGCACCGTGTCATATATGTAAAGGTTTGAAATCTGAAAAAGACATGGCGCAGTAATTAGAATCACCAGCACCAGCCATCAAGAACATGAAAGAAATCATCAGCTCAGCTGCCTCCATTCATTTCACATAGATGGTTGGTTTGCCTGGTTATTTATTAAACAGAAGAGAGGTTTTTTTAAAAAAAATTTCTCAGGATATTTTGACATTGAGAATGAAGTCTTCTCTGACTGTATGCTTCAATTGCTTTTTCGGCTTATTTAGGTGTGAAAGAAAAGATTTTTTTAAAAAAAGAAGTTTCAACAGAGGCAAGGAAGGCTGTTTGTGTCAGGCCTTAGAAAATCAATGGCCTTTATTTCATTTTGAGGAGGTTAGACCTGGGGCTTAAGACTGGGAGGACAAACTGAATAATACATTTTCTGAGTATGTCAAATTTTTGCATTCCGGTTATTCAGGTGGAGAAATATCAACTCGATCTTACATACAAGAGGAGTGTGACAGATGTATAAAAAAGGAAGCAGCTATCTGCGTGAACATTTATGTCTATGGGGATTCAGTAATGAAAGATAAAGGGGAACAGTATCATTCATAAACATTGCATTGGTCAAGAATCTATACAAGATTATACAGGTAAACACATGCATTGCAATTCATTATCATTATACAAACCATACACTATTAACTTTGTGAATATGTGTTTATGCTAAAGCTTTCTTTTTCTATGGCAACTATATCATTATCTTCCTTCTATGTACATTGAAAGAGAAATTACAACAATGTTTGCTAAGAGCTACTGAACTCTTACATCTAACTCTTGCCAGTATTGCTACCCCTACCATCGACTACTGAAGGTGTTTATTTTTCAGATAAATTAGAAATTATTTAGAAAACATAATCACCAAGAGATATCCAATGTCAATAAAAGCTGTTAAATATTATAGCCTCTCTGAAGAAAAAAATCAAACATAAAATAAAAATGAGCCATCAATGTAACTGTGAAAATTAAATCTATCTTAAAGCATTTAAATTCTCTCGAACACTAAAGTGTCTTAGCACTTTTTTTTTCACAAAAACAAAGCGGATGGTCTATTGATTGCCCTTTGCTTATAGTCATGAAGGAATCTTATGAAATTGTCTACCTCCATCACAGAATAGTATTAAGTTCAACTATTAGAACAATGAAAGTTTGATATTATTAAACAACTGTTAATAAGCATTTCCTAACAATGCCTTGTGAGTTTTCCTTCATTAAAATTTCAGTAAATCTTTAATCATTTGTGTTTTTAAGCATTATTTTATATGTGTAATACTTATGGAATGTAGTCCTTTCTTTAAAGAGATATCAAATACTCTTATGCACTGTGTGAAATACTAGTTTGTTCTTTATAAGGAAATATGAGGGGAGGTTATTCCCCGCCTCCACTCCTCCCCTCCAGTCAACACCGAACCTGCCCCTCCCCCTGCTAGATAATTACTAGAGAGACTGGGAGCAGGGAGGACAGAATGTGGGAGGGGCTTTGGCTAAAATCCACAATAAATGAAGAATGAGACTTGAAGTTAGATATAGTTGATGAATAAAAATTTAGTCTGAATTAGACTGTGAAGATCCAAAAGGAAATCCTAGAAAAACATGAAGGATGAATAGGCTGTATCCAAAAATCCAGGATAAATCTTTCGATGATCTCTCAATAATTTTCAATTATCTGGCTTTCTCTGACCTCTCCTAGCTCCATGCCTCAAATCTGCTTGCTCTAATCTCTCTAGCTCTAGTTTGCTTCTTCCTCTGACTGACTGCTTCAAGTGTGTATATGAAATTATAGTGGATGCATTCTTTGATGACTTTTTATCTTTCTCCAACTAGTTAATTTCCTCTAAAACTCCATTCCTCAGCATCATGGTAGGTGAATTTTACCCTAACAACTATCAGAACACTCCCCACTCCAGGGTTTATTGGGCAGCGTTTTAAATCTCCTATAAAACTGAGTGCATATTTCTAGTGAAACATATAATGCTAAGATTTTTTTATATCGGCTTTTAACACTAGAATATGAGTTCCTTCCAGACTGGGGCTCATATGGTATATATTTTTCTTCTTTTTACATTTGTTTCTTTAATTCTTTATTTCCTATTGACTTAGCCTGGAACTTAGTAATCTGTTTTTTGATAAATAGGTTTTAAAATGAATGGGAAAAAAAGAATGTCAAGTTTAACATCAGATAGGTTTGACAGAAGTTAAAAAGAGAAAAACTGAACACCTTACACATCTGTGGCACGGTAGCTTTTGCACACCTCGAGACCTGTCCTTTGAGCATCCATGCTGGTTTTAACAGTGAGTGCTTCCCACTCAATATGTGACAGGTGCTATTATCAAATGACTGCCTCTGCTCATTTGCCCACATTCCAATGGCAGGATCAAAAGGGTATGATGACATTCTCTGAGCTTTTAATTAAAAGCTCAGAGAGCTTCTTCTTTCCCTTCTTTCTTTCTTTCTTTCCCTTTCCCTTCTTCTTACCCCTTCTTTCTTAGGTGAATACATATTCTCTCTGGGGTTCATGCTCTTTCCTATGTCACACTGTACAGCCATCATCCCTGACCTCCTGGTCACTCATGAGGTCTTTGACTTCTCCCTCACAACGATCCCAAATTCCCTCTTAGCATTAAAAAGATCTTTGCTGATCTTTTACTATAGGTGATCTTTACTTCTCTTCTGCTACAACAATATAAGTGACTATTCACTGGACGCAAACACATACCTCCTCTAATATCTTTTTTAATCCTCATTTGATAATGTGTTCATTGATTTTAGAGAAAGAGAAAGAGAGAGAGCAACATCAATGTGAGAGAAGCATGGATAGGTTGCCTCCCGTATGTGCTCTGACCATGGATCAAACTCACAACCTAGGTATGTGCCCTGAGCCTGCAACCCTGATCATTCTCAAGCTAGGTATGAGAATTGAGCCTGCAACCTTTTGGTGTATGGGACAACCAACTAAACCATCCGACCAGGGCTCTAATACTTGTATCTTAAACACCAGTGTCTCGCCATCTGACCAATCATTTTTCTTCACCTTACTGTGATTACACTCAGTGACTTTTTTTGACCTCAGTGAATCACCAGTGCCCACCTTGTCTACATGACAACCTTCCAGAATTGGACACCACCTGTTACTTGCTCTGAAATATCTTTACTTAAATCATTAATCATCGGTTATAATTTCCAGACTGTTCATCTCAGCTCTTTTGCTCTTTCTTTTTCTTCCATTTCAATGTTTCTGTTCAAAGTTTAATAATCAGAACTGACACATTATTGCAGATATGTTCTGACTAGGAGAGGAATAAGGTCTATTTCTCTTTATCTTAGCAAAACGCTTCTGACACAGAGACCAAGATTACATTAGAAAGGTTTGGAGCACATATGACTTGTGCTGTGCTCATACCAAATCTAACTTCATCTTAACAGCCTTCAATAAGCTGTCAGACAAGGTCTCATCCACCTAGACTTCCTATAATTGATTTTGAACCTATACTTGATATCTGTGAAATTTCAACTTTTAGGTTTATTATTCAGTATAAATTAACAACTTGGGTCTTGATTATATAATACAATGTAAGTTTTCTCTTCTAGCTTTATGTCATTTACAAATTTGATAGGCATATTTTACTCGTGTAGTGATAAACATGTAAAAAATATTAGGACCACGAATACAATCTCCTGGATGACCACAGTGAATTCCTTGCACTGCAGTGTAGAATACTGATCAGTGTGGTTTGAGTGTTCCTCTAGTTCCACACTTTTCAAACTGAGGGTTATAAAAGCCTTGGTGATAACAGGAAGTATAAAAGCCTTGGTGATAACTTGTAGATAACAGGAAGTATTCAAAAGTACAGAATATGTCAAAGCTATGTCTGAGGCATAGAGGTTTTGCTTGAATATTTAGAAAAAATACCTAGGTAATTTATCTGGTAAATCATTTGAAATAATTCATGTGTTATAACTTTTAAAGATAACAATGAGACTTTAATATATTTTGAACTCTTTAAAAAAACTGAGGCCAAAGTGTTTACTCTCTTCTGTTTTTAGGAGTCTTTTGGTCAAAGTGTTTGACTGACATTAATCTATCTAGATTTTTTAATGTCTTTCCATAAGGATTTCATAAAGAAAATTTGTGGACTTCTGCCAAGATGGAGGCATAGGTGGAGATGTCATGCTTCCTCACACAACCAAGTTTAGAGACAACTAAATATTAGCAACAGAGAACACAGCCAGAACACAGAAAATTGAACTTTTCAGAAGTCCGTTAACAACAAATTCTTCAGCCTGACCGGTAAGAGGAGCAAAACCAGCAGCTGGAGGAGCGGGGTTGCACAGGAAAACTCCGTCAGACGGACTCAGATGCTCTGAATCTAGGCGCAGGGTTGGACCTGGTGGGCAACTCAGCGAGCGACCGTGGGGAAACAGCATGGGAGCAGGGCTGCGGGTTGACTGTGGTCTCGCATCCATGTGTGGACAGACAAGCGAGGGAGTGGGCGATTGGACGGGACCCAGCAGGCCCCAATGGCAAGCGGCAGTGGAGGGCGCTGCCATTTCCCCACTCTGACCCCACCTCCACATACAGCGTCATAACCCAGCGACCTAAGTGGCCCTGCCCTGGTGAACCACCTGAGGCTCTGATCCTCACCCAGCAGCTAGAAACAGCAGAGGGGGCCGCCATTTCCCCGCCCTGACCACGCCCCCACATATGGCATCACAACCCAGCGACCTGGGAGTCCAAGGCTCTGCTCCTCATACTTAACGGGCTTGAACAGAACAAAAATGGCTCAAGAAGATCTCAAAGCCCCAGAGCCTATAAATCTAAGCGATAAAGAAATAGCAAAACTCTCAGACGCACAGTTTAAAACACTGGTGATCAGGATCCTCACAGAACTGGTTGATTATAGCCACAAATTAGATATACATATGAAGGTGAAACTAATTGAAATGAATGGAATTACACAGAAAATCAATAGTGATGAAAAGGAAACTGGGTCTCAAATCAATGGAGTGGACCAGAAGAAAGCAAATAATGGCCAAACAGAAAAGAGTCAAGAAACATCCTTCATTCAAAAAAATGAGGAGAGGCTTAGGAACCTTCAGGACATCTTTAAACACTCCAACATCCGAATTATAGGGGTACCAGAAGGGGGAAAGGAACAGCCATCAGTGGAAAACTTATTTGAACAAATAATAAAGGAGAATTTCCCCAATCTGGTAAAGGAAATAGACTTCCAGGAAATCCAGGAAGCTCAGAGAGTCCCAAAGAACTTGGACCCAAGAAGAAATACACCAAGGCACATCATCATTACATTAGCCAAAATTAAAATGAAGGAGAGAATCCTAGAAGCAGCAAGAGATAAGGGGACAGTCACCTACAAAGGAGTTCCCATCAGACTGTCAGCAGATTTCTCAAAAGAGACCTTACAGGCAAGAAGGGGCTGGAAAGAGGTATTCCAAATCATGAAATCCAAAGACCTACAACCAAGATTGCTCTATCCAGCAAAGCTTTCATTTAGAATGGAAGGACAGATAAAGTGCTTCTCAGATAAGATCAAATTCAAGGAGTTCATCATCACCAAGCCCTTATTATATGCAATGCTAAAGGGACTTATCTAAGAAAAAGAAGTTAAAGAAACATGAACAGTGAAAGGACAGCAAACTCACAGTTATTAACAACCGCACCTAAAACAAAAGTAAACTAAAAGGACAGCTAGATCAGGAGTGGAAACATAGAAATGAAGATCTCATGGAGGGTTAGTGTTAGAGTCAAGAAGGAAATAAGTTGTTTGTGCTAAGCTGTTTGCTCACTCAAGCCTGAGTAGAAACCGCACCCACCCCCAGGCAGGTGTTCCAGAGAGTTAGGAATTGGTCAAAATGTATAGAGGGCTTCCATGTGTCAGGAGTTGTTGTTAAGTGCTTCACATCTGAGCTCGTTTAGCCTATCGCTAACTGCCACCTTTCCTTCTGGAAACCCGCTTGCTTGCCCGCTTCTATAAAAACCCTAGTCTGTAAGCGTTAGGCATGACTCTCATTTGCAGCCATTTTGGCACCATGTCTCCGGACACCCCGAGAGTTCGTCCCTGCACAAGTAAAACTTTGAAACTTTGGCCAATAAAACATCTTTGACTGCCTGACCGTCTCCGACCCTTCTTGCTTGTGAGAGCGGAATGTAACAGCAACAGGGGAGTGGGAGGAGGAGAAGGGGGGAGAAGGTACAGAAAATAAGTAGCATAGACAGTAGATAGAAAATAGATGGGGGGCAAGAATAGTATGGGAAATACAGAATCTAAAGAACTTGAGACACATGGTCATAAACTAAAGGGGGGTAATGGTGTGAATGGGGGGGTAGGGTGGAAGGAAATGAAGGGGGAAATAAAACAACTGTAATGGCATAATCAATAAAAATAAATAAATAAAATTTGTCACACTACATAAAATCAATATACAATAAATTTATGATGTTATCACTACCTAAAAATATATTAAATAGAACTTAGTTTGGCAGTGCTTGTTGTTTGGCAAGGTTTGCTGTATTATTTAATATTCCCTAAATCATATATATATGTAATAACATATTCCATAAATGACACAATATTAATTTGAGTATATTAAACTCCAATTATCAGGAACTTTTACCTCCTGTTTAAAATTTGAGACATTATACAATTGTCTTTTTGTGCTTGAAAATCTTCCCAAGTAGTTCTCTAGCATTTCTAAATTATAACATTGTGATTATATTCACTTGTTTATCTATTGTTCTAAGCAATTATTTTTGAAGCCTTATCTCCAAACCACTTTTTTTTCTAAAACATTGATTGCTTTTTCAAATGACTTTCATTTTAATCTTCCAAGTTGAAGACAATTTTTTTTAGATACAGAAGACAGAAGTGAAAAGATTTAACTATTTCTATTTTCTCTCCATTAGCAGCCAAGCTAACCTTAATTTCACTGAGAATTAAGCCCTTTTCCTTTTTGTTTTGTATATTGCTGGAAACTCTGTTTGTGGCTAAAAGGTGTCTTTAACATTCATTTTGCAACGTCAGCTAATCCTTGATTTTATTCCTTCTGATATTAATTTAAAGAGTCAGGAAACTAGTGTTTGATTCTTTCTAATCTCCCTTTTTTTCATGTATATTAAAATATATAACAGCCAAGAGAGTTATACACAGGCCCATTGTACCTTGCTCTCCTCTGCTGCATTGATTATTGTAATTTTATGTTGGGTTTTTATTTTTAGAGCTGACTTGAGTCATATTATCAAATCTCTACTTTTTCTGAGTTACTCTTAATTGTACCCTGCTGATGAAAGTGTCTGTGATCATATTTAGCTGCATTGTTTTATTAATGAGCTGCAAGCTGAGTGGGTTACTTCTCCTAATTGCCCACTCCCAGATTTTTGGTATTTTTCTTGTTGCTTTCTTTAACTTCAGTGTGATAACATTTTCACCAAGACAACCTTTATAACAAATGCTCTGCTTTTGGTGGAATATTTTAAATTCAAGTTGTTCTTTTATACATTAAATATTTAGTCAAATTTTATTGCACATAAAAGGAAGTTAATATGTAATAAATCTTCAAAGAAAAGCAATTATCTTGATTTCTTTCACCTGTGGGTTTGTGGGGAGTAGGATGAAGGTGTAGGGCAGAGGGGCGGTGCTTTGTCTACATCCTTAATTCATCAGACAAGCCTGGGAATATAAACATAAATAAAATATTTGTTTCCTTGATTTCAAAAAATCCTTAATATTTTAAAATTTTCTGAATCAAAATTTATTTATGTTTTTCTAAATTTAAAATTATACTATTTCCACATTAATTGTACTCATGACCAATTAATATGGAAAGCTGGATCATTATAAGCATGTTAATAAGATTGGCACTAAAACTTAAACAGGTCTTGTTTAGGCTTCAGAGGGACTTATTTTAACCATTGCTTTCTCCTTAATTACATTCAAATCCACAAATATTCACAAACGTGCAAAAGCACTGTGACAGGTGTGATTGAGAAAATGAAGATAGACTAGTACTTTATGGAAGTTTATGATGCCAGGTCCTAGAGGGAACCTCGTGTAAAATAGGCCAGGTGCTGAAAGACAAATACCATATGATCTCACCTTTAACAGGAAGCTAAACAACAAAACAAACAAGTAAGCAGAAAAAAAACAAAGACTGATAGAGAAAAGGGGTGTGCGGGGGAGAAGGAAGGAGTTAAGGGGAAAAGGGGGGGATTTGGAGGAAAAATAGGAAGAAGGGGGGGGGGGGTGGGGGAGGGGAGGGGGGGAAATGATAGAAAAATACTAAATAAAATTTAAAAAAAAAAAAAAAAAGAGCTTAAAACCTAGTAGGAAACAGGAAGTTCTATAGACAATGATCCCTAAGTCAGCTGCCCGGTCAATATATGCAGCTTATCACAATGGTAGTAAGTTTGAAGAAATAGTTGGATACTTAGTAACTCATCTAAAAAATTAATCCAAAAGTAACTGAAGAGGGGGAAACTATGGATTTATCCTTCAAAAGAAGAAGCGATTTTGCAAAATTACCTTACTTATTGGGCATGAACTAATTCTAATAGTTCTTCCAAAATGTTCAAACGGAACATCTCTAAATACTAAAACATTTTTAATATTAAACATTTTGAAGGAACAGTTTTCTGAAATATATATTTTTCTGACTTCCGAAATTGACTTCGACTTTAGTCTTTGTTAGTATCTCAGGGGCACTGTTAAAATACTGACTAACATGCTCGCGGCATACTAAAGTGATACCCTCAGGAACTGTGTCATGACACAGAGTTGTTTTCACAGGAAAATTCCTTCACTGAAAAGGTATTGAATTAGATTATCTGATTGATTTCTTTTCTCCTGTCTCTTGCTTTGCTACAGAGTGCTCCTTAGGACTCCCTACTGTTGTCCCTGCATCGGCCTTTTGTAACATCTCCTTCACACTGTCATACTGAGATCTCCTGTGAAAGGTCTAATAAGATTTTTCTTAAGAGAAAAAAAATAGGCTCTGGGAGAGTATTTAAAGGGCATTTTTATGAGTAAGCTTCAAGGACTTGGGATTTTTTTATTTTGCTGCTCGGAAATTTCATTTATTTATTCCCAATTTTTTTTTTTGTATTCTGAATAGTGAAGATTACAGCTATATTCTATCTGAGTTAAATATGGCTGTTTAATACTATAGCACTTTTTTACATTTCTAAACAAAATTTTTGTGAAATACTTCAAACTGGACACTAATCTTTAAAAAAATTCTATGTCTTTGTTAGGCCAAAAATGAAGTCATTTGGAGTATCAATCTCAAATCCCACCATGAGAAATATTAGGCCTATAGCTACATGCTGAGAAGGAAATAATCTTTACTTATTACATTACTATTAAACAAGTAGATATTTTGCTAAAACAAAGTTAGAAACACCAAAAACACAGATTCTTTGTGCTCTTCTTAAGATGCTTTGACTTAATAAATTGCTGGAGAAGAGAAATAGTTCAAAAGTTTCATACATGTATAATTTTAAATCTAATACAACTCAGAAAACTCTCTCTAAAATTTCCCAACAAAGCATCACTGGAAGAAATACTCTGATACTAAGAATATACCTCCATATTCTGAGCAAATGGGTCCTTTGGATCACACAATGTTGAAGATATTCGATGATTGCCACGGAAACATCGCTGACTTATATTCTGGGGGACTGGGAATGTCTGCCGAATGATAGTCAGCCTTCCAATTGACCTTCTTACAAGTTCTTGTACATCTACATCATTTATTTCCTATAGGATAAGAAATGCAAGAATTAGAAATACTTTAATACAGTAAGAGAAACACAAAATCTATTAGTAAGTTGTTACCTGGAAATGCTAAGGAATCATTACTGTAATGCACTTGCTTAATGCTTAGCCCTCATCCAAAAGAAAACAACATACATTCATTAAAATGATCAACTCATTTGTATTTGCTGCCTGTGCTTAAATTATGTAAACAAATATTTAAATGATTCCAAATAGAGCAATTGACTTAAATATACTTTATTAATAAAATTTATAACTTATTATGTTTAACACTAGAAAAATATATGTCGTCTGCACATCAAAAAGGTCACAAAATAAGTTGCTATTGTAATTCATTATTTATTAATGGATTTCAGAGTACTTTGAGTAGCTAGGAAGATACTTGCAAAGTAGAAGTAATATATTTTGTTTTTAGCAATGAAAAATGAGGCTCTTTTATAAGGCAAGTAGAGGGAGCAAGAGGAGATATTTTTAGAGACTTTTCCCAATAATTTCTTAGAATTGTCAGTGTTAACCCATACATATGTTTAGGTTAAAAATAGATTAAACAAAGTGCTCACTGAATATTGAATAAACAAGTTAGTATGTAATTGTGGTCCTAATATAAAGATGAAAAACTGTTGATTAATATAGTGTGAATCAGGATGAGTGAATGAAGAAATCCAGTGTCCTTGATCCAAATTAATGCTATTTCGTATGAGCGCTTGCTAAACTCAAAGGTGTTTTACACTGTCTTCTTTGTCCCCTCCTAATTCCAGACTTAAGTTTTAGAATTTAACTCAAACATGGATGTAGAAGCAATAAAAATAAAATATTTTATAATATACATCTATTCTAATTAGAATTAGAATAAAATTATCTGAATAAATTTTAGTTTTAAAGCAGCTTTTACTAAAGCAGTTTGTACTTCACATTCTCCATTGGAACCTCTTAAATGAATGAAGACTTGGCAATTAACAAATTGTTAGTTTCAGTACATTCTTATGGCAACAGAAATAAAAGATTTGACACAAGATAAACCAGAATGCAGGAAGTATTTATCAGTTTGGGTTCAAAGAATTATTACAGAGTAATGAAAGACAAAAAGACTATTTACAGATATGTTTTATTCTTTACTGGACTAATCACATAGTATTTTTCTTTTAGCATATATTAGCTTTAAAACTTAACCCTTATTTATAATCATTATGAAATATAGATTTTTCTGAAAATAAAATAACACCTGCTGTCAGCTATATCCAGTAAAATACCCGTGATTTTTGGTTGATTAAGCCTTAATGTACCATGAAGTAATGGTTTTCTCAGTTTAAAATGCTGTCTTTTTCCTTTAGTCTGTGTCATTTCACTGGCCACCAAAATCTCTTTCGGGCAAAAAGCAGGTCATTTTTTAATTTTCTGTCACCAACTCACAAAGAAGAATTACATGGTTTCTTTCAACATTATTTTTAGCCTTAACGTTAACAAGAAATATTTCAAAATTAATTACTATTACTGTGCACTGTATTTAATTCCATAGTGTGCAGACATTTTCAATGAAGGCAATTAAAATTGTACCACTTTCTCATAATATTAACCAAATAGTGGTCTTTTTTTCTTTAGCAATACTAAGTCTTATCAAGCAGCATTATATCCTACCTGACTCCAGCCTTGATGAGCAACAGATCAGCACATTAGAAAAAAAACTTACATTTATGAGTGCCCATTCTATGTTAGGCAAAAAACTAACATAACTGTTATCTTATTTTCTGCTAAAAACAACAAGATTCGGGTACTGTTATTCTCACTGTATAAATAAAGAATATAGAGATTCCAAGCTCTTATTTCTTAATACTCTGTATTTAAAGTATTAATTTATAAATGTCATCAAACACGACACTATCAAAAGTCACTAATTACATAAGAAGTCCATATTTCTTTATAAAAATTATTTGGATCAATATTCATGAATGACAGCATTCGAAACTATAAAGATACATTATTTCTGCATGTAATAGCTTGATTACTCTGTAAATAATGACAAAGTCATTTATTATGAATCAAAGTCTTCAAGAGGACTATTTCAAACCCACAAAAAGAAAAAGGATGATTGCCTTTTATAGATTCCAGAAACTGGAGTTCTTAGGTGTCTAAGCAACTAGAGTATATCTGAGGAAGCATCAGTTTGAATTGAATATATTTTGTCTACTATTGTTTGAGAAAGAGAAAAGAAAGTAATTTTCTGGAAGGAAAAAAATCTGCCACTCTGAATGAAACTAACAGACAGTCTGTCTCAATAAATTCACTTGCAATTTTAGTTTTGACACATGATTTCAAAGATAGTTTGATAATGATATAAAACTTTATTAGGCAGCTCTTTTATATTTACAGAACTTTACTTCTGCATTTCAAAATGTGCATTTAGAAGTGGTAGATGTAATCTATATATGAACACTGAAAGCCAAGTGAATACTTGGCTTAGTGAATATCTACTAAGATATCCTTTTAAATGAAAAATTCATATGTAAACTTCTGCATTACAATATTAAGCTATTGTATAATCTATTAGAATCAATATTGTTCTAGTGCTCTGAACTTTAAAATGTTGAAACTATCTCATTTTTTAAGCATTCATGTGAAGAACCAGCTCACCACTGACCTTCCTGGGCTCCCAGCACCACCAAACGCATTCATGTCTATAAAATATGCGAAAAGATCCTGAGTTTTAAAGCATGTGAAGAAGCTGAATTTAAAAATTATGTGTCTTTTTAATATTCTTTATGTGAATAAGTATATTTATGAAAGAGAATTACTATTACAATAAAAATGGACAAGTATGTTTTTAGTGCACCTCATTTTTTTTCTGTTTTACTTTTCTAGGAGCAAGGCATACACTATTTCCCCCCCCAAAAAAACAATTTACATGGATAGTAAAACAATATTAAGAATCAAGTCGATATATCCAAGAAAATATTCCTGTTTACTTCTCTGTGTTCACTTAATACAGGGTGAACTCTGAACTGTGTAAGAGTGAAAGAAGAGGAAAGCTAAAGTTCCTGGTAGGAACACAACTCCACTCAGGAATGGCCACTTCCAGGGAACAAATCTTCCAGAAAAATTGGATCGCTCCTGAGTCTTTGTAAGATATCAGCTTTAGGTTTAAATCAATAGAATTTCAGGGAAGGGAAAACTCTCAAAATCCAAAGTATCCGATTCTAACATTATACACACACACACACACACACACACATACACACACTATTGGGTTGGCCAAACATTCGTTTCTTTTTTTCCGTAAGATGATTCTAGTAGCACTTAGTTGTCTTTAACTTCATCCAAAACAATTTTGTTAGATTATATTGTAACAGCTGTTACATCAGCATGTATTTTAAAAAAATTTTAAACCTATTGAATTTGGTGAATTTTTGTGAAGCCATTTTAATGTTAAAGATGGAATAAAATATGCAACAATTTTGACATATTATGCTTTGCTATTTCAAGAAAGGTAAAAACACAACTGAAACATGAAAAAAAAAGATTTGCGCCGTATACAGAGAAGGTGCTGTGAACCTTCTCTGTATATGTGTCAAAAGTTTCAGGCTGGAGATTTCTCACTAGATAATGCTTCATGGTCAGGTAGAGCAGTTGAAGTTGATAGCAGTCAAACTGAGGCATTGATTGAGAACATCAATGTTATACCATGCAGAAGATAGCCAACATACTCAAAATATCCAAATCATTAAAGTTATTGGTGAAATGAAAAATGTGTCTTTTAGTTTATGGAAAAAATTAAATGGGCTTTTTGGCCAACCCAATATTTCAGGAAGGAATCCCTCCTTTCTTTCCCATGCCTTTTGCCTCTTTTCATTAGCAGAGTTTCTGGTCCATAGTAGGCACCCAAGAAAATACTGAATGAATGAATGAATGGCAAGTTTTCACCCAACTATCTTCTAAAGATAGATACCTGAAATTTTAAGTCTAGACCCTGGGATGCTTTAATAACTTTAAAAATTCTGAATAGAGAAGCTTTTAATATTGACATTAAGCAGTATGCCTACTATGTGGTAAAGTTTGAAAAGATTATGTGTTTTGTTGTTGTTTTTGCTAATATGTTTATCTTCTTCATATTTTAGAAAAGATGATCCTTGGATGCCTCCATAAAATTTAACATTAGTGTGAAATAATTATATCAACACTATGTGGAAGTCTGGAACAAACCCAGCTGTAGGCTGTACAGCAGCAGGAAGGAGAGCAGAATGACAACTCTCTGCTTGAGAGATTAGTAGTGAGCAGTTCAATTAATCACTAAACTAGACAAAATGAAAAAACATCCATTAAATATACAAGCCTTTTAAATCTCAACAACAACTTTTCCTTAGCAGCAGAATTTAGTAGTGATTACCAGAGGATAGTGACTTAAACTATTTAAATAAGACGTCAGGGCATCAAAGATTAGGTTTAGCATTATCAGGGAATAGAAGGTGCCCATAGCATCGCACTTCTTGCAGCTCTAAAAAGTGTGTGCCCTTCTGTCTGGATTTCAAACTTTTGTAAAATGTAAAGTGCTAGGACATCTGCTCAGTACCCTGAAGGAATGACAGTACTTACATGGCAAAGCTGTTCTGAGCTGGATCCACTGATTGTAGGGGGAAGATAAATACCATTATCAACTACTAACATATGATTGATTATACCATATGAACTAGCACATGTATTGCAAATGAAAAAAATACATTGTTTTCAAATTTCTACACCAGTTTTTATCATGATCTACTATGCTGACTTTGATTTATAGTCTCTCTCTAAAAAATTATTGATGTAATGAGATTAAATAAATGTTTGCAACCCATTTTAAAATTAGCAGTAAAACAGCAGTTATACAAACCAAACTACACAGCATGTTTTCCATGTTCAATCAAAAGGGGCATCTGCACCCGGGCCAGGTGGATCAGTTGGAACATGGTCCCGCACAACAAAAAAGTTGTGGGTTCAGTTCACAGTCAGGGCATATACCTAGTTTGCGTGTTCAATCCCTGGTGGGGGAGGCAACCAATCAATGTTTCTCTCTCTCTCAAATCAATAAACACCCTCAGGTGAGGATTGAAAAATAAAAGATAAATATAAAAATGGGCATTTGCATATTGCTAAGGCTTATTGTTGTTCTTACTTTTAGAGTTTATTAGCTTCCTGGGAAATTTGAGAAATCTATGTTTTTTCTTTTATGGACACCGGGGTAAATTATGATTCATTCATTATAGATATGCATATAGAAGGCTGTAAATGAAGTAAAGGTAGTGAGAGTTGAGTTTTCTGAGGCATATTTCAAGGAGAATGAGGTAGCTGAATGAAATCATGTGGAAGTAGAAGTGCTGATGCAGATATACTGATGATTTGGGGTGGAGGGATAAAAACATGTTTAATCTCTGAGTTTTAACCTAGTATAGATAAAAATAATAACCTATATATACAATGTGAACTGTGAACATCAGGGTTTTCAAAAACTAGGTGGTATTGACCTGTCCAAAAGAAATGACACCACTACCCAAGTAGTAGTAATAGGGCTGTGGATAAAAAGAGATCAAGAAGTTCAGTAATGGTAAAGGAGAGGTACAAATAGTTATAACAGTAGAAAAACCAAGTATAAGGGTCCAGAGAAATAATTGAGGTCCTCTATACTGTCTTCTATACTTCTAACCTTCACTGAGTTATTTGCTGGTTAGATTACTTTGTTTATGTGGATGTTTTACTTGCAAAATAGTGGCTCAACTATGGAACATCAATTTAAAGACAGTATTTGCCCTCCTAAGATTTTATGTGATACAATTTAATGATAACTTTAACAAAATGAGCCATAATGTTTATGAAAGATATACTAAAATATAAACTGTTATTATTTTTCCATGATATTCATCATCAGTGAAATACATGCTAGTCTACTCAGTCAGACTTAATCTGTATAACATGGAGTGATTTCTTCCACGGTACAAACTGACACATAAGTAAGGGGTCAATGGATGACCACTGTTGTTCTGGGGAGCTTTGCACGGTTCACAGTTTTAAAACTCAGTGTAGTTTTAGAAATTCAATTGGACATAGAAGAAAATCATTAATTCAGGGTTCCCTTCTTCAAACTTATCAAAGAATAGAAGAGAATGGGGATTTCCATTTAATGATTATAAGTATTAACAGTCTATGTCTCTGAGGAGGCAATAACTCACTTTTTTTTCCTAGCCAATTCAACAGAAATGAACAAGTAAAATGACTCCAGGGTGTTTTACATTGGGAAATCAGTCATCTATTTCCCCATTAGAAGGTGAACTCAAGATTGTGACTGGAGAGGAGGAAGATAGGAAAATTCCTGGCCAAGTGGAATAAGGAAGCGAGGCCTAACAGTTTGGGCAACTTACAGCTACTTACACCCACCAACTTACAGCTGGTGAATCACAAGACCTTATCTGCCCTCACCAAGGACACTTGAGAGCTAAAGGGTTATACCTCTCTACCCAAATCAAAAAACATGAGCTTAAATCTCCCTGGTCTGGGAACTAGAAAACAGATACCCAGTTAATGTCATTTGTGCCAACTAAACTCAAGGACAGATGAAGTCAATGGAACAAATAACCAAAACCCTCTTAAAGCCAGACAGACCCAAGACAAAAGTAAACCAGTATAGTAGACCAAAGAATATTCCCCAAATCCTGTTTGTGCTCATTATGACACATCAGCATATTAAAAGGCACCTGGAAAGGTGATGAATATTCTGCAGAAACCCTCCCCTAAGATTTTCACTCACACACACACACACACACAAAAGATGAAAGCCCCCAGAACAAAGACTCACTGTGGGCTCACTCTATAGCACACCCATACCCCTTCCTGAGCATAAACTTTTTACGTCCTCCTCAACTCTAAGCCTCCCTTTCTCTCTGACTTTCCAGTGCGCTAACAGCAGCCTCACCTTGACTCATTCCTTTCCTGTAACATTTCTAGGGAGCCAAAGCAGAGCACCATGTAGGCTCTCTCCTGTTACTAAGTCCTTCCTTTGTTTCACTGTCCCCGTCTTCAGTAAAGGTACTTTCAAAATCGACTAGACTCAAGCTGTGAAATCTCTCCTGCGTGAAGTCAAGCACCGTTACTAGAGTCCAGCCTGAGGCAGATGGGCTCCAGGCTGGTCCCTGTCTGGTAACAAGGTAAAAACATGGACTTTGAAAGATTCTCTATTTTTTATAAAAATAGTATTCTAGAAATTAGTTAAATTAAGAAAACATCTTAGAATAAATGGCTCCTATAAGATTAAAGTTGAGGTAGCAGAAACTTCAAATATACAACCTAAAAGGAGAATTAATTTTAAAAAGCAAACAAGTTTCAGGCTGGAATAGATCATTTTAAATCTCATTATAACTACTTTATAGTTGTGTAATATTTGACAAACTTTTCAATTTCTTTGAACCTTAGATCTCTTGCAGAGAAATAGAAGTGAAAATATCTAATTTGAAAAGTTATCCTGCAAATTTGCTCAGTTTCCTTTCTCCTTTCCTCTGACCTGATATTTAGACATTCTAGATGGAAATTAAGAGGTATTAGAAAATTAGAAGTTATCACAATTTCATTGAAAAGCAGGCCTCTCACACGCATATCACCAGTGGGGATCTCACAAAAAATGGATCTTTATTTGAACTAAAAATACAATAATAAATCATAAAGTTTGGCCAACCAAAAACAGGCTTGTAAGATATTTCCAGTAATTTTTCATTGAGCTAAAAAGAATGATGGTATAGGAAAAACAACCTCAAACTAGAAATAATTTTTCTATGTAAAAATCATTTTTCTTTTTTCTATGTAAAATCATTTACTCTGTGAACTTCATTCCCTCAGTGCCTCATGAAGTGATATTTAATACTCAGCAAAATAATTTGTGAGAAAGTGATCTTTGAACTTGAATGTGCTATGCTCACTACTGCAGTTCCATTTACTGAGGTACTGTGTTAAGATTACTAAATATTATCTCATTTAATTTGTATTGTGAACTTGTAAAGTGAATGCTATTATAGTTGCTATACAAAGTGGAAAATCTGAAGAACGATGATTATATTACATACCCAAAACAATACAACTAACCAATGGGAGAGCCAGTATAGATCTGATCATGCTCACTGGAAAACCAGAATTCTTACTCAGAATGATATTTTCCCCTTGAAACCAAATTTATCATTCTATAGTTCAATAGTATCTAGTGATAAATAATAATTATTTTTATTCATAAGTAATAGATTTGATTGAATGCTACGTTTTGTTGAGGACAAATCCACATGATCTCATTATTTGCCCACGACTCATCTGTTCATTGTCCTTTAGGAATCTGACTGGCAGGTCATAATGGAAAACATATTTCATGAGGCTCTCATAGTGTAGTGTACTTTCAATCCTATGTATTGTCTTTATGAAAGTCAAAAACTTTCATGAGGATTTGACAAGTTGTTGAGTTTTAAAACAGTTGTATTCCTTTATGAAAAAAAATCTGTTCCTGTTTATTCACATTCATATGCTGAACTACTTAAGGGGAGGTGGATATAAAAAGTTCTAGAAACAACATTAAAATATAAATGGAATACAATCGCACCACTGGGAGAAATTCACTTTGCTTACAAAGAGGAACTGTACTTTTTATAAAAATGATCTTCCGAAGCAGGCAGTGTCTTCTAGCGGAAAAGGCTAAAAAATACTCAGTGGGGAAGATATTCTTCATTTATTTTATTCATACGAAGCCCTTTATAATTAAAAAAAACTGCTTATCCTATTTTTACTTAACAGAATCCACTCAGTGAGCTGAACATTTACTTTGTGTTCTGCAGTTGCTTAGAAATTCAAGGCCACAGGACATGCTGTGACTACACATGAAAAACAGGACCCAGAGCTGACAATAAGGCTTAGTTGGTTTTACCTCATTTATAATGATCCAGTGACAGTCGAAAGCAACCAAATTAGTCTCCACAACCTAGAACAGAAAACAAGCCAGCTATTAGTCAGTATTAATTATGGAAAATAAACCCAACTAAATGAATACACTGCAAAAGAAGAAGAAGAAGAATCACCTGTTGGACAGATCATTATGCAATTCAAGATGGAAAACTGTTAACAAAGCACTAAAGGCTCAAGCATCTGTGTTTGATGTGTAGAGAGGCATTACAGACTTCCTAGTTTTGAAAGTGTAATTCAGTTAAAGGCTAGGAAAACAGGTTTCAACTACAAAAATAATGTAATAATACCTTATAGTCATTTAACTAAGAGTGGAATTTGAATCACATTTCTTATTCCAAATAAACTTTGAGAGCATTCTATTATCCACCTAATAAGTATATAAGTACATATGCCTCTATAATCTAGTTTAACATTTTTATCTTCTAATACTTCCCTGTGTATATGCTTGCCATTGCCTTGATAAAGTAAACTGCTCTATTTCTGAAAGGCTTTGTGTATGTATTCTAAGAACATCCATTTGTTGAATTATCTGAATGTGAAGACCAAAAGTGATAAACATATTAGCATTGAGTTATGGTTGGATAATTTTAGTAGCTTTCAACTTTCTAATAACGTGATAAGAAATAAAACAGAAAGACACAGGGATGAGGACTCGGGGGGGGAGGAAATGGGAGGGAGGTGGGGAGCATGGGGCCGGGGGGCTGGGATGGGAGAAATAGACAGAAAACTGTACTTGAAAAATAACTGAATAGAATTTTTTTAAAAAGAAAAATAAAATTAAAAAAAAGAAATAAAACAAATGTTAAAGAAAAAACAAACAATATATTGGAAACAATGTTGGCTGACTAACTCTGGGTGAATTGATTCTACATGATCCTTGGCTTAGGCCAAAAAAGTAAGCCTCAAGTGTGTGTGTGTATGTGTGTATATTAAAGATAGTTTTTGTGTGGAAGTTTCCATTCCAGCCAATCTTATCATACATATTCTAAGACATGTTGTTATGATTCATACCATGGGGCATACAGGCATATAATGGACAAGACTTAACCTGTAAAACTTAATAAGTAAAAAGCTGTCTGGGGAAGGGCATTTATGAAATAAGTGTAAGGTAGGAGTTACAAAGGGAACTTATTGATAATTTGTCTAGATCAGAGAACTTATTTTTCACATTCTCCTTCTTGAACTGGCAGAGAAAAGCATGGGTGGTATAGCGTCTAGGTTCAATCTATCTCATCTAAGATCTGGATTCTACTAACTCAACCACCCTCCCTTGCTGAGAGTCAGCAGGAAATTATCTGCCCTTACTCATATCTTTGGTTTTCCTCATTAGTACTAAAATGTGAGATATTTACCAGTATACATTTGAAACAATGAAAAATATTAGCATATTATAGCATAAAAATAAATCCTTTATCATAATAGCACAGACCCTGCACCCCACTCTTTGGTGTGGTGTTGCTCCAATCCTGAAATAAACTTCTGTTCTGTGGAGACATTATTGCATTTTGGGCCAACTTGAGAGAATAATTTAGCCTATCTTACCTGATGTAACCTTTTGTTATTAATATCAGCTATGCAAGTTTTCTAATCTTGATAAATTTTAATAAATATACTCAGTAGAGAAATTTTAAATGATATGATTTCATAGAAGTGTGATTTCAAGCGAGTGCAATAGACGTTGGTCTTTTCATGATTAGAGAATTTTCAGGACTTTTTTTTCACATGTCCATTTTTTGGGGAGGAAGGAAAGCAAGTTATACTGGAAAGGTACTTAAACATGAAAAGTTAGATCTATTCTCCCTTCATTATATACCAAAGTATTCAGGTATACACCACTAAAACCCATGTGTTAGTGTGACACCATGTTTGTAAGAAGCTTTAAAATATTTTATTGCTATGTTGTACCCAGAAAGTTAATGTTTGTATTCATTATCTTAGGTACTATCCACCAAAAGAGAAATATAATTTTCTCATGCCTAGGTTAACACCTTCATGTGTAACCAGTGAGGTGGCATGAGCTCTCTGAATCTTCATAATAGAATGCTGCCAAAAGTGAGCGATGTGAAGATGCCACTAATTAAAAATGTAACTGACATATGCTATGAAAGGAGAATTTAGTAAAGGGTCATTCAAAAATGGCAGGGAGTTCAATAGCCTACACCTTGGAGACCCAGTAGGTTTTGAGTCCCTTCACTTATATGACTGATGTAGGTATAGGCATACATATACTTTCCTATACATATACACCTATGCCTGTATGAGTCATATGGTATACTACTGGTTATATGATATAAAGTGTAATGTTGGAAATACATATGTATATCAGAAATGTAAAATTACAGTAGAGTTAAGAGAAATGATATAAAAGAGTAATAATGTTTATTCTTTTCCCATAGCAAATTGATCTAATATAACAGACATTCTTAAGAGAGTTTTATTTACATAAAAAAATCTCAGCTACTTCTGTGGATAACAAAGATCAACTATGTGAATCCCAAATAAATACATCTATTAAGCTTTACATTTTTTAGTAATATCAACCCCTTTCCACTTAATATACTTCAGCCTAAGTAATGCTTTATTGAACTAGAGGTACTGGTAAATTGAAGAACTAAATTACTTTTGAATAGAGCATTAAAAAGTGACTATTATAAGACATCTAGATTTTTTTAAACCATATATTTACCTCCATAGTTATGTTAGAATTCAAACCAGGAAAATTGTTTCCTTTCTCCGTCCTCCTTCCCTAAGTAGCACATCTCATATGTCAGTGGAAGATATATTTGAAGCCAATGAAAGGGATTAAACAACTTGAATTTTTTGCCCAGTGGGAACCTATGTTATGTCTAAGCACATCATTGTTATAGTTGTTTGATCCCATTCCACGGATTCTTATAAAGGCTTAGCAAGTTAGTAAACAGCAATTGTACTTTTTAACCTAAATTTTTTAAGTAGTTGCTATGAAATACTGAAGGTCCTAAAGATAATATATATTTTATAATTATGATGATAAGAAACATTGCCCAAAACATCACATCTTGCTTGGGCTATTAAAAGAAAGCAGCAAGTCAGTATGGGAAAAAAACACAACTATCCAATAGGAATTCTAGTGTGTTTCGTTATCAAAATAACAGGAAGAAACAAAGCATGATTTTTTTCTTGGTAATTTGTTTATCTCTCCTATCTATTCCATGCTTTACTCTTATTCCATGGGTGTATATTAGTAATGAGTGATTAGTAACAGAGCGTGCTCATCCATGTGGAGGTGCTACCACACTGGCACTCAGTAATGTAGTTGCCACAAATGAGACTACCCACCTCCCAAGAAGCTGAACTTCCTTTAGGGGAACTGGCTAAACAGGAGGGAAAAATCAAGTCTTGTCAGAAAGACAAGCAATATGTAAAGACAGATCGTCAGTTGCTGGCAAGAAATTTTAGGACTTCTGAATCTCTAGAAAAGCCCAACAATTTGTCACCATGTCTTCCATCATTTGTTCTCAAATCTTTAGATTTGCTAAATAGAAGACAATTGGAAGCAAAAAAAAAAACCTGCCAAAGCATGTACTTCACGGGTAATGATTTGGAACAGTTCCTACAAGCAGAGGACAATTTAATTGGCTAAGCAATAAAGAACAACATGCTGTTCTTCACCCATCCTTATGGTTTAACTAGATTAAGCTTGGTCTCTTTGTAGCATGGACTAAATGTCATACATTTATGCACAGGTTTCCAGTGCTCTGTGCACCTGCAGCAGCAATGAAATCAGGAGTTTTCTTCCTCCCCCTACCCATTCCAAATTGCCAGGTGGAAACCTATGGGTGCAATGCCCGGGAAAGGACCTCAGGTCCTTATGAAGCATCTAGCCAGAGAAATAGTAAAAGCTACTCTTCTCCTCTCTCCTCATCTACTGTAATACTATATAACTTATGTCATAAGCATTTCTAAACTGTATTCTTCAGAAAACTACTTCTGCTAAAATTGGTGAGCATCCTGTAGCCAAATAGACTCAAAAATGCCAGGTTAATCAAAGTTAGGTAGATGTCATTGCTGTATTACTCTTTGAAACTCTAACAGGTTAATATCAATATCAAAATATAATTAATACAAGAGTGATACTAATATGAATTATTATTTCATTTATTATTTGGGGACATATTATTATCAGACTTATGTGCTGGAGCTCCAAAGTCAGACAGCCAGTGTCTCTATTTTCTTACAGTATGACTTTAAACAAGTAGCCAATCCTGTATGCCTCAGTTTCTTCATGTGTCATAGGGTTAATAAAAGCACCCGCATAAGAGAATCATAACAAAGAATGGATGCAGTAATGGCACTCTGTAAGTTCTCAATAAATGCCAACTCCTTATATTAACTAGTGTGCTTCATGGAACTCCGGGAGAACATACTTGAAATGTAGCATGTTCCAAATGGATTTGACCATGAAAACCATTTTTTCTCATTATAAATCTTATGGGATTGGTACTGCTTAGGAAATGTAGACTAGAATCGATGTTAACTTAGTCACATATTCCTAAAAGTTCTAAAATGTTAGTAAAGCACTGTGAAGAGTTTTATAATTTTAAAATCATGGTCTTACAATAATCCTACAGAGAGTGCAATTTTCCACAAAACATGAACAAATGTTTACTTACCATATTTTATGTAAAACCCAAATGCACATGTAATAGTTTTGACCAAATAGTGATAGTAGTTCTTCCTTTTAGTCTTTTTTCTTCCTTTCTAATGAAGCAAAACAAGTCAAAACAAGACAAAAACCACTATACTTTTCTCCAATAAAGTATAGAAAGGGAGTATATCCTGTATAAAGCTTATAATCTATAGATTTTAGCAAGAGATTTATGGATTTGCAGTAAAAACTCCACACCCACTTTCCTGGGTGTCATATATGACTAAACTGTAGGGTTCTGCTTTAAACAACAATAACAACAACCCAAATGAAATGCAGTGACAATAAAACACTCCAGCCCTCTTAAAGCGTAGTGAAGATCACGTGAT